GTCCTGCACAGGCGCAGATCTAGAATAAATACTAACTGATTTCCTAAACGAGCGCCGGAAGTGAAAGCTTGCAAACCGGTATGGATCCGCGCCTTCTGCGGTCGCGTGGCCGTGAATGGCGATAGGTTAAACAACTTTACATGGTAATAGCATTCTGTCACAAAGGCACCAACTCAAGGCTTGGGTAAAACAAATGCAGTGCTCTGTATGAAATTACATACTATCACTCATCGAGGGAAAGATCCATTGAAATACTTTCAAACTTTGTTCTAATATATATTGTTGTTTTTTATTCAGGGCATCCAACCCTCAGGATCCACCAACCGTCACAGAAGCCCGTCAGCAAGAACTGCAACTAATTCGACAGTTCATAGACTAGGCCAACTCCCTGTATTAAAATAAGTCATCAAAATAAGTGGCTAAGAAATACAACTTAATCATGATGGGAAGCGTTATGATAAATAAGTCCAAGTGTTATTTTTTCAATAGGTGCAAGGCAGTGCAGTGTGTCAGAAAAAGTAAGCAAGAAAGGCACGTTATTTTCAAGTGTAACTTTTACTGCATGAAGATGGAGTTGTTATAATAATGGTTGAATAAAAATGGTCAAATTTGTTTTTAATTTGTTTTTCCAAATCAGTCTTTTATTTTCCTAGAAACAGCGAACTGATTTTATCGCAGAACTTGAAACCTGTTTGTTCATAGAAAATGCTCACGGGAAGGCTGGTATGAGTTTATCACACAGCAGGCCTTTTTTTCACCATAATTGCAAAATCTGTCAGATTTCTGTTCCGGGAGTAGTCAGCTGTTCTTTTAGAGCCTAAACTGCGAGCAGTCTCTTATTTTTCTTTGCAAAGTTACTGAACGAGTAACCCAAGCATGCGAGCTGCGAAGCCGCGAGCCGCGATAACGAGAAGAGAAAAATCAGAAGAACTAGACGGATTTTAAGAGGAAAGACGGAGTGCAAGCAGTCTCTTAGAGCCCAACAATTGGTAGGAATCGCAGATTTTGCTCAGTCTGTGTAACGCTTTTTCTGGATGAAAGCAGAAATCTTTACGACTTGGGACCCTACTTATAGCTGAGTAGAAAATATACTTTACCACTAACGTTTTTCCAGTCAATTCTTGAAATTTAGCTTCCTCTGTAGACTGTAAAACAGTCCGTATTTTTGCGTATTCAAGTAAGCGCGAGCAGTCAAACAAAAGGTCTGGAACGAGGCTGAAAACAGAGAGCGCTCGCGCGCTTCCGCGCCCGTAACGCTTACGCCACGCTTTACCGATTTCTTTACTGACTGTACTGATTACAAGCTGTTCAAAATGGTCACACGTGCTGAAGGGAACAAAAAGAGCAACACGATGTCTAAGAAGTGGAGTCATCTGTTCAGTACGCATAAGGAAACCTCCAGACCGTTATGGTGAATGGATTACAGATAGTGTAAAGCAAATATATCGAAGTCCGCTTGAAGATGTTGGATGGCAAGCAAAGAAAGAACAAGGACTGGATAATCATACTGAGACAAAAATTGCAAATAAGGCTAGAACATTTTGGAACTCTGAGATTTTTTAGGAAGGGGATAGTGTAATGGGACATTTTGTGCTCGACATATAGCGAAGGATAAAATGGAAAAATCACACCCATGTAAAGTTTGTGAGCTTTTGTGGGACGGATTGATCTTATTTCTGGATCGGTATTTGCATATTCTCCGCTACGCGACTCCAAACTATTAATCTGTGCAAGATCACCCTTAAACTGTTGCGTGCTAATAAACAGAGAAGCGCATCAGGGAATTTTTGAGAGAATTTTAACTAAGGCAATAATTCTATTGAAATCAGACAATTTGTTTTTTACTTTTATGGGGACCGAGCAACATATCGAGGAATCACAATCCTGAATGTGCAATCCTCAGGCTAACAGGCTACCTGTACAGGGCTGGGATGTTCAAAGCTGGGTTAAGATAACCCGGCCTATAGCTTAGTGCGAAATTTAAATTCAGATTTGAAAGGTTAAAAGAAAAATTCAGTTAATTTAATTCTCCTTGCCTACAAATTGATGATTGGATGCTCTAAGTAGAATAGAGAAAATTTTCTGATAAAATACTTTAAAAAAAGAAAAGAAAAATAAACGGAATTAAAATTTAACCCCGAGTTAGCTCTGATCGACCTTGGAACAACTGGGCCTAGAAGATTAAAGTGCATTGAGCTGTCTGCAGTAGTTACACAAGCTGTTATATCACTTTTTATTGTTCTAAAGTATTTGAAACCATTATAAATTATAAAGATAGTTTCAACGTGCCAGTTGGAAGCTGTGGCATCAGTGTTTTGCTTCTGGTCATAACTAGTTAACGTTAGTTCTCGTTTGATTACCTTTCCTTGGACAAATACCTGATACACATACAATCGAACATACACACCTATATTGTAATTGTTAACAGAAGTTAAGCTAGTCTGATAGCCAGAGATTAAACGATCGATGAAGAGCCGTTTTTAAGGATGAAGTTAAACGATTGCAATTGCGAGAATTGCATGATTGAACAATTGTGGTGGCCCCTCTGGAAACCAACTTTTGCTTCAATAAATAACTTTTGCGCAATTCACATGTACCAAAGGCCAAACTGGTTGTAGGCCCGGAAGCCACTCCCATATGAAAGGGGCGGGGATGCTAGTAGGAAATTTCAATTTAAACCCCTAAAGAAGACCAATCTGGGCGTGGCCCAACCCTTTTTTGATCCCTAAATAACAAATACAGCGACTTTAATGGTGGCAAAGACATCATTATCGAATCCTGACTTTTACCCGTAAGTTGTTTTAAAAAGCATCGTCATAAATCTTTAGTTCATCATATTCGCTTCTTTTATCGTTGGCACTTGGCACTTGGTGGAACAACAAACTTGAAAATGTTGAAAAGAACTGTAAGTGCAATATATCATTAAACAATATGTACATCATACACGAAAGACTACGAAGGCTGAAAGCTGTTAGTGGCCAGTCAGATTTTGTATCTACGCCTTTGCACGTAGTTTACCATAATCCTGATATACGACATACACTATTATGTAAAGGACAGTACAGGAAAATGTCTAGTCATCATTTTTTATATCGAGTTTCGTATTACCCTAGCCATCACTGGACAAAGACATTTTGTTACAATGTTCTTCAGGTATTGATGTTATAGAAAACTTTGATTACATGAATCAAGTAAATAAAACGAATTGAAAGTATATACTTTTTTTATACTTCTTCGCGTGCAAAAGAGATATTTACGGCTAAATATAATGGCATATTGCCCAGGACATCCTAAGTGAGACCAAAATCCGAAATTTTCACCCCTAAGCGAGACGATGAGCACCGCTGCCCCTTTCATATGGGAGTCCCCCCGGGGCTTGTAGGCTAGAAGTGACTGACATGTACTAGGCTATAACTAACGATTAGCAGCTCCCCATCATGAAAGAATGCCTAGCGTGTGAGCTTGAAATCGTTGCTAGCGAAAATCCATTCCACCTATTAAAAGGCGATCATTTCAGCTAGCGACCCCTAGAGGTTCAAAAAAAGATTGGTTGGGAATTTTTGTCTCCTTTTGCCCAGACTTTCTTTACAGACTGGACCAGGCGAGATATATTCTCCCCTATTCCTAGCATTTGTTAAGTTAACTTAGACTATTTTCAGTAAAATGCTGCTGCTATCGTTGAACCGTGAGCTCCTGCTCATTTCCGCATTTCGGAGAGAAGTAACACGCTGGAGAACTGGTGACGAGTTGCCTGATGATATCTTGGTTGCCGCCATGATTGTTGTAGAAAGAGGCGGAAAAGTTGTTTTTTAAGGTGCGATAGTTATGTCCACTAGCTGTCAGCATTACATAAGACGTTGCTCCTTACTGGTAAGTTTCTCTGATTCTTGTTTTATGTCGCATATACTCGAAAAAGACGTGAACAGATTTACTGCATTACAGTAAACAATAATTCACTTAGCTGAAGAAGCGGTGGATTAGTTTAGCTCTAATACCACACAAGATACTGGCGTCATCTTGGAGGATTAAGTCATTTTGTAACTCAATTATTTTTACTTGTTTGCCTTACTTCGATTTGATACGGCGTACAGTGTATATAAAGCTTAGTTGAAACATGGAAGCATTGCAAAAACTAGCGCAACCTCACCTGGTCTTTTAGGTTTTTCTTGATTCTCTCAAGAAAAAAATCTCGAATACCAGGGTAGCAAAAACCTACAAAGTACGTGTACTTAACTCTAGATCTCACGTGAAGTTCTCCATACATCTACATTGCTCCTTGGTTTAAGACCAAGTTCTTTAAAGGGCTAATTAGACTTTTTGAAGAGATCTCTACTGGTTGTTTCAGGTCACAAGCAAAATAAAATATTCACAACTGATCTGTTTGGGCTTTTTGGTACATGTAGCTTGCCTTTGGCTCACCATGGTAACTGCCCACACAGATCAGCTTCACATGGTGTTTTGAGTACTTTAAAGTCAGGGGCAGATCCAGGATTTTTTTTTAGGAGGGGGTGCACTCGTCTCTTGCTCTACTTCAACACCAATAAACCACATTTTTTTTTTTTTTTGCAGAATGCCAATTGTATTAGAAAACCACATGTAATCTCAGGGGAGGGTGCGTACCCCCTGCACCCTCCCCCTAGATCCGCCCCTGAAAGTGTGGTTGTTTCAATCTTCTGATTGTCTTCTTTTATTTTGTGTGATCACTTGACTCTTGTTTAAATTGGAAATAGTTAAACCCCAGCTTTTATTTAACCACTTGACTGATCTAACTTAAAGTAATTTCTTAGAGTACAATTCTTAATTTCAGGTAAGCACATTACTCTGCTGCACTGGGTGTATGGTTAAATAAACAAAAGTTCATCCTACTATAGCATTTAAGCTTGCATTGTGTGATAAGTCTTCAAAGTACTGTGTTTGAATGCATCCTTTATTATTTTGTAAGTCACCTTAGAAATTTTTGTTTATTAAACAAGGGTCTCTTGTGTGATTTGCATCCATAGGCACCATGCTGTGTTAAATACTACAGCTGCAGATTGTGTCATAATGACAAAGAAGATCATGAGTTAGACAGAAAGACTGTGCAGGAAATTAAATGCCTTCAATGTGGTAGTAGTCAAACAGTAAGTTGTAGTCTCTGAAATAATGTAACTGCAGGGTTTGCAAATTTTATTGATTGGTGAGGTCCGTGTGACTTGTGCTTCACAAATCTTGGAGTCATTATGGAATATTTGGAGTCACGTAACACAACGGAGAGAAGAACCGTTTAAAAACGGTTCTTTACTCAGTCTTTTTTATGAGGATGCCATTCCAGCACATGGTTCTGGCACGTATACAGAGTACGCTATTATGATGGCAACATGAAGTAGCAGCCTCATGTGAAAGTCCGTTGACGTGGAAAAGCTAGAATCCATCATGATGATCGTCGTTTGAGTAGTCTTTATTGTGATTTAGCCTGTAGGTGTACATGTTGTAGTTCAGTTTTATCCTTGGTTTAATTTTTATTTTCCTTTGTTCTAAACTCATTATCATACATTACCATACCCCAAAACAAAAGAAAATGAAAATGAAACCAAGGATAAAATTGAACCATAACATACATACATGAATAATCCTTGAATTGGTCCGTTTAAATCAGGGTTGTAACGTTTGCAGTTAATGTAGATGTATTTGTTTTGAAAAAGGTAGGGGAAAAAACTATTTTGCAACCAAAACTTTCTGGAGTCAAAGTGACTCCCTTTGTAACCTCAGTGGAGTCATCTTGAAAATTTTGGAATAAAGTATGCCAAATTTGGCATATTTGTGAACCCTGTGACTGAATATATGACTGCCTGATCTTGTAAAAAATGCTGATGATCTCATTTTAGTGTGCTTTATTAGGGACAGATCATACAGAAATATCAAGCAAGACTGTAGTATTTCCCGGTAAAGGGCAGGCATGCAATTACGCTAATCAAAAATAGCACTACATTTGAAATTCAAAATTGGTGAAAATTTTGTTGTTTGAAAATGTAAATGTTTCAGCTCAAAATTAAATTCAGGTGAAAATTGTTTAACCTAGGTTGATTCTCCATTTCCCTTGTCTCCTAGCCATGATTATTCAGGAATTAGGGCTAGGAGACAAAGAAGTGAGAATTAAACTAGTTTAAAAAATTTTACCTGAATTTATAAATTTTGACCTGTTACATAAACATGCCTTACACTAGTCAGTTTTGTTTTCAATCCAAAGATTACGATAGGTAAAGGTTTAGCCATAGAGAGAACAGGAACAATAATAACTGATATTATATTGATGACCTCATTGTTTTGTCTTGAAATGTAACTAACTGGATAATGCTGTTGTTGACTTGTATTTTGTATTTCTCGTACATTTACTAATTTAAGTACTTAACTTCTTTTATGAATGCAGGTAGCATCTCATTGCAAAGATTGTGGTATAAAGTTTGGCAGATATTTCTGTATGATCTGTCGATTGTATGATGATCAAGAAAAGGGACAGTTTCATTGCAATGGTTGTGGAATTTGCAGGTGTTGTGATTATGTGCACTGTTATTCAGCAGTATTTGTTGAATCCACTTTTATCATAAGCTACACATTCAGTGATAAAAAGGTTACAATATTATTTAGGTAAGCATTACTGATTCAGTGTGCATACACGCAATTTAGTTTTAACACAAATCCTAGCCTGTTGTTGAAAACCTAAAAGAAAAACCAGTATTATGCCCTGCATATATATAAAAAAGGAAAACAAAAAAACAGAAAAAGTTGTAAATACATTGAATAGTCCCATAGCTACAGTGCAGAGTTAACTGATACAATATAGCTGTATGGCAGTTCACTTGGAAGATTAGTTACATTTATGACCTTAACAGCTATACACTGTACATACTATATTTTGCCTAAACATTTCCTACAATTTTTAGTGTTTGGATCTCCTTGGTTGTTGTTATTGAAAGTGAGTCAGCAACAAATCTGCCAGATTTGTTGTTTCCTGGCACTGTCTTTTAACAATTTAACCCAAGATCAGCATTTTAATTGAAACACGAGTTTTTCACAATTAATTTTAACCACTGTTTGACACTACAGGTACATGTAGATTAACTGTGTTTAACTTGTGTTTATGGGATTAACTTTCTTTCAATCAGCTGGGTGCTAAGGCTACAATACATGTGTTATTACACTGAATAGCACACTCTCTTACAATATTGTTATTGTTAATGGACTAAACTGAATATGAATCAGCAAGGAGCAGCTAATGGGGAGAACCCTGTGAAGTGTGAAGTATATGGATAAATGGAACTTTCACTTGTAGAACTCTGATCATTTATTTTATTTCATTTTATGTGTTAAAATTATTGTGTTGTAGCTGCTGGCTGCTTAGTAAGCCTTCAATTATTTATTAGCTGCAAAAGGTTGCATTTTAAAATGCAATGTAAATTAATAATGACTTGATCTAATTATTCTTCAATCAAGAAGGTAATTTTTCCTTACTCCTGCACTGAGACTAAGTTTTAGTTACAATGTAGGTTATACTTTACTTTTTGCATTCAACATTTTTGTCTTCACTGACGTGTGGCCAAACTACTTTATTCTACTATATTTTTTATTTTACATCAGAGTTGGTGGAGAGGAGAACTTCTTTCACTGCAGTAGATGTGACATGTGCTTAGGAATTCAGCTGAAAAACTCACACAAGGTAACAAACAATACCGGTAACTCAAGGTGTCTGCTGAAATGGATATGTGCAATTAAGCTCAGTTGGACAGAAATCACATCCAGTCAAGTCACTCTTACATCAGTTTTCGTATGATTTTATTGCAATATCCAATCACTGATGTCATGCAAGACACCAGCATGGCAGTTTAGCTGTTTAATAGGCATGAGACTGCATGTAGTACATAAAAAAAAAGTGAAATAGGTCACAGCTATCCAAAGATGAAACAGCAGCATTTTTTACCATAATTTCCCAATATTATTTTTCATACCCTATTTATGGTTGGTGTGATATCTTAACAATTTTACCAACCCAATACACGTAAATGTAAAATGTAAATATTAGAAGGTCTGAACTGCAGAAAACTTTGTACAATAAAATGATTTTTGTTAGGTCACCTGGAGAAATGAGTTTTTACACAGTCTAAAGGCAACATTTTAGATTAGAAATGACTTGGTTGTACTTAGCCAGTAAAAGACAATGACACTGTATAAATATACTGTATATAGGCTACCATAGTACATTACGACATGTAGGTACATGTACTTATGAGAAAACTGAGCTTTGAAACTTCTCTTAGGGATGCTGTATTGTTTCCATGGTAACTGTTATTACATGTTTATTTACATCTTAATAAGTTTTCTGCTATGATTGGTGTATATTACATGTTATTAAATTTTGTCCCTAGTCACCTTAGGGAGCACGTCCAAATATCGGTAGGGAACCTGATCATGGGAAACGGGCCTGATTAATTTTCCGATTGTTCGGAATTGGTACTGGTCTGTAGGCAACAGTTGCCGTTTCTGATTACAATAAAAACCTCGCTGTTTCAATTGGAGCCAGTTGACATTTCGATGTTCATATGTGTCATCATCATATTATTTTATCTGATATATAAAATGAAGTGTGTCACGAAACCAAATGATGAAAGAGTCGTTTCTCTCCAAAGTAATTTCTACCAACGGTACCTTTTTCCTACTCCATAACAAATAACAATATTGTATGTTCCCGTATGTTGTGTTTCGAGTTTGTTGATTTGATGCGTGCCTACATGTGATTTTCGACGTTTTGCAGAGGTATTTCCTTCAGTCGATCGCAAACACCACGCTGCTCCATAACATTTATTCTATGAAAATTAAAAGGAGTTAAATATTACGACTCAAAACACCACTGTTCTTCGTTGATACATAGCAAACAAAACACCATACTGAGTAGTGTGTACTTTACTCGATACTTTCTAACAATGCAATACAAAAACATGACTGGAACTCACTTTCTCGAAACTCAACTGGATGCATAGACTTGTTACAAGTAGACCTCAACGGGTTTCCTAGCAAGCGGAGTGAGAGCAAAACCATGGATAATATAAAACCACGGAATAAGCTTTTACGAAAATTTGCGTCTTTCATTCAACAATCCTAAACGCAACGTGCAATGCGATCTGAGGATTGTCTCCAGGGAATTAACAAAAAGAACTGATATTCCCACACTCGTGAGTCACGGAAGACATGGAGCGAAGTTTCATACTGGAGTTACCAAAGAGAGAATGGCTTAGTGACTTAGCTGTTCTGTGAGCTTGGTGCCACGTGAAATTGCTTTCCACTCTCAGCACTTAGGAAAATTTGCGCTTGACTCAAGGTGGCTGACTTTTTGCCAAAAATCAGAACCTTTTTTACCGGAGTGTTCAACTAAAGCAAACTGTGCATACATCCGGTAAGTTTGACTCAATTTAATAGCAGAGAGAGAATTGAGAAAGAGAAAACCAGTTGAACGCCTCCTTCAGTCACTTTTTTGAGTTCATATGAAACCAATAAACAACTTGCAGCCTGATTCTCAGACGATGTCCTCTTCTCTCCTGTGGCAATTTAGAAAGTTAAAGTACACAACATGGTAACAACATTTGCATTTTGGTCGTGGATGTTCTGACTTCTTTCTATTAATTTTTTTCGCTTAAAGTCCTAAACTGATTATTCCTCCAAAGATTCTTATACTCATGCGTTTTGGGTTCTGGTAAGCACAGGCCCAAGCTATTTTAAAATTATCATTTTGAGATCGTACACTTGCAATGTACATTGCGCCAAATGACCTGCTGTTTCTTCTCGTGCCCATTTTGATACACAAATTTATAAATCTTTTCTGGTCATACTCTGTCATAGCAAATACAAACAAATGTTTGAAACTGTGACATTAAATTTCGGTTCAAATAGGACACATTTACTGTATGAGAAAAATAAGGTTAATAATAAGAAGAAACACTTTATCTGCTGGTCTACAACATTTAAATTGGAAATTTAACGTGCTTGTGCATCGAAAAACAGTCATTCACCCTTTTGCTTTTGCTTTTGTGACAGGTTATTTGAGCTGCCATATATTTTTGATGACCTTTTGATGACCGTTGCCAATTCTGTTTCATTCAGTACCAAAAATCGGCATGGATTGATCGGCATCGGTGTGACCCGCTGCCAATATTTGGACATGTTCCCTTAGAGACTCTAGTAGCACAGTAGTAGGACATCTGATAGATCTAGAACTTGGAGAGGGTGATGAGTTCAAATCTCATCTGGAGCTAGGAATTTTTTGAAGATTTCTGATGTTTTATTTCTCCTTTCTTTCTTTCTTTCTTTCATATTGTCTCAATGACTGTTTAAATATTTTGTTTTCAGTGCGTTGAAAAGAGTTCACGCTCAAATTGTCCAATATGCTATGAGGTGAGAGCAATTACTATTTCTTGATCAGATATTTTGTTTAGGACACATGCACTTCAGGGTTTAAAAAAATGATTATCATGGCATCACCTGTATGGAGCCCTCCCAAACAAAAGCGGCTGTTTCCTTGTGCTATTAGTCTTAACTCTTTGTTTTTGCCACCTGTGTGTGTGTGCTGACTAAAATTTCCAT